GCTCAGTCGGTAGAGCATCAGACTTTTAATCTGAGGGTCAAGGGTTCGAGTCCCTTATCGGGCGTTTTTAATTTTTAACTTTTGCTAAATATTTTTACTCCATGCCAGTTTCATTTCAATACGAGTTTTCCATTCTTTCGTATATTTTACCTCAACAGGGCTTGGTTAGCTCAGTCGGTAGAGCATCAGACTTTTAATCTGAGGGTCAAGGGTTCGAGTCCATTTTCTTACTTTCGTTATTTATTTTACTCCAATTTAATTTTCAATTGCAGTCTTCTATATTCTCATGTGTATTTCGTCTTATCATGGCCTGGTAGCTTAGTCAGTAGAGTATCAGACTTTTAATCTAAGGGTCAATATGGTTCGAGTTCCATTCCTTCCTTCACATCTTTTTCACTCTATTCTATTCTATTATATCTCATGGCCATTCCAGCTTGCCATCGAGCAAAAGACGTGGTGTATGTTTAAAGACATAAAACTCCATATATACATGAAAATAGTACTAACTAATTAGTACAAAATAGCACCAGTGAAACAATTGAAAACAAAAGAAATAGATGTGTTTAGTGCTATTTAGATTTGCGCTATTTCGACATTACATTTCATCTCGTGCCACAAGATAATGTACATTTCGCAATACAAGTCAGTTTAATAGCAGAGCTCCCGCGTGGGCCGAAGGCCCGTGCGAGCAGAGCACCATACTTAAGAAAAAATGGTAAACCATCGAGTTGATTTTTCATGGTTTTGGCTGACGTCACTTCCATCCGTCCGTCCGTCCGTCCGTCCGTCCGTCCGTCCGTCCGTCCGTGTACACGACACAGAAATCCCGCTGGATATCAAAACTACGCACAAATGCGGCTCTCAAATGCACAGAAAAAAACGCTTTAGGACAAGTTATAGACCAAAAACAATTTAAAAAAAAAAAAACTTTCATGTAGTCAAAGATGGATCAAGAAGTATTCTTCAAGAATTCAGGTGTGTGTGTTTTAGCAAACAATAGCATGTTGTTATTAATTTTTTTTTTCTTTGACAAGCATTTTTCTCGACGAATCGACAAATCAAACACTTTCTCTCTAAACTTTTTATATTTCTATCAATAAGCTTAAYTTATTTTAATGCTGAGAGCATATTACAACAGATATTCGTTCTTTATTTAGCTTTGTAAATCTTTAACAATTAGGTTGTTTTTAAGCAACTATCGTATGTTTTTCGTTCAAGAAAAAAGCAGCTTTGTTCGCCTCCTATCGCGGGGTCCCATCGGCAAAACAAAGAAGACTTTCATTCAATAATTTTATATCTTTCTACTGATAATTTATTTAATCATTGAATGAAAAATAAATTTACACCAAATATTCAACTGTTTATTAAGCTGTTCGAGCAAGTATGATTATAAAAATGAGCTTAAATTTGTGTTGTTGAGAGATGTTATTGTATAAAGACCTACTAGACTTTCACTTTAAAAAGCTAAAAAATATTCAAAAACATTTACAAACGCCAATTTACTGCCAATGAAATTAGTCATTTTGTATTTTGCATTGCCTTTTGCATTATTTTCTATTTTGTCTCAGTTGTTCTTGTCAAGTTTAACTGAATGTAAGCTTTGTTTTTGAAAACTTTAAGACCTAATTAAGTAAACCTCATTTTTTGCTCACCTTAACCAGTTTTCAAGTCTTTTTGGTCTTGATTTGTCCTAAATCTCCAGATTTTCGATTTCAATGAAAGACATCCGAGGTAAATTTCACTAAACTTGATATTGTATTGGATTATTTGTAGTTAGCTTTCGTTTTTCTTTAAGTAAAAGAGATTCAAAGCCTAAAACTGTCGGCCTTGGAAAACTTTTTGTCGAAGAATCTTACAGGAACAAAGCTAGCCCCTGGGGGTGGTGGTGAGTTGTGTACAAAATTCCTAAGTGGGAGAGTATACTCGCGCAAAAAAAAAACAAAAAAACAAAAAATGATGTAGTGCATTTCCATTCGATTTCACTGCATAGTTTTTATTATGGTAGAAATTATCATCATTTCGAATAAAAAATAATTGCAGATTTTTTCCCCGATCTTATTTTTACCTTTCAGTTTCATTCAAATTGTTCTCCCTGTGACTTCCGTATTAGGAGCTCTGCTTTTAGGCAGTGCCTAAATATATATATGAATATTCTCTTTCAGTGTTTGGAAAAAAGGAGGAAAGTGTGACAACTGTATGATGTGATGAGTTATACAGTCAATGTCATTAACGTTGTCCACCGAAAAAAGACATTTACACATGTACATTTACACATTTAGACTAAAAGATATATCACGTGTTTCATTATGTATTCTTTGCATCGTGTGTGTCAGCCTGCACTTTAAATGTAAAATTCAACTCGTGAATCGAAAATCCAGAATGCCCCGACCATTTAGTGAGGATTTAAGATGAAGAATGGTATTTCAGCGTTTGTTTTATGCCAGAACCTTCGAGGAAACACATGATGTTTCTTTTAGTCTAAATGTCTAAATGTCTAAATGTCTTTTTTTGGTGGACAACGTTAATGACATTGACTGTATATGAAACATAGATTATACTGACACGATAAAATTGCATCGCCGGAGAGTATCATACATCGCCCTGGATTAATTGTCGAACGATATACAGGAGAAAGAATTCAGTTTCCCAAGGTAAGAATCTATTGTTGTGCGTGCCCGGCCCCCTTTTGCATCACGTGATGGTGCAAAGCCTCCAAGCTATATTTATTCTCCGTTCTAAAAGGGGGTACAATTTTGAACCAATCACAACTAATGACCGTAGCAAGGTAACAATATCATACAAAAAGATATAACCTTGTTACAACTCCACATACATAGGGTGGAAATGCATAACCTGTTGGATGTATGAATAAAATAATCATAAAAAATATTTAGCAAAAGTAAAAAAATGAAACGCCCGATAAGGGACTCGAACCCTTGACCCTCAGATTAAAAGTCTGATGCTCTACCGACTGAGCTAACCAGGCGATTTTTAGTAAAATACACAAAAGAATGAAAAAGTGGAAGTAAAACGAAATGAAGTAATGGACTGGAATGAAGCTTAATTTTTTAATTGCTTATAACGTTTTATTATTTATTTATTTGTTATATTATCTTATAGTTAACATAAAAATGAACCTKTTATCACTGAAATGAATAAAGTTCTTGCACTCAAAAAGATACAGAAAAGACATATGTAAGCTTTTTGAAGATTATGAAAATATCCCCTGAGCCGTAAAAAGATATCTGCTTCTCATATTTTGGAAAAAGAATTCCACGACCATATCTAACTAAAATCAGCGTGTTTTCGATTCCATAAGACGGTGGAAATTAGGACACTCGTSTAGCTAAAATGCTTTGCGCGTCCTTATACGTAGGAATGAGTTTAGGAGAGTTCCTGATAAAATACAAGACTAAAAACAGTACTTGTGAATGAAGGAAAGCCTAGTCATTGCGACTTTAGGCATAAGATCATTTTAATAAGTCCTTTCCAAGTTACGAAATGCTCGTCTTCACTCGTTGTTTCCTGAAGCGAATTCTTCTATTCTGGAACCACACCTTTACCTGTGTTTCAGAAAGGTTAAGGCCCATTGCTAACTGCCTTCTTTCTTCACCTGCCACATACTGCTGACGATCGAACGCTTTCTCCAGCCTTTGCAGCTGGTAAGGAGTGAAAATCGTACGAGATCTTTTGTTGGCGCGTCTTGGGCGCGCTTTTCCGATAGAACTTTGAACTCCAAGGCAACCTGACAAAGACGATATTGAAATAATATCACTTACTCATTGTCATTGCGTGAATGCGATAGAAATATTACCTGAGGGGTTTTAGGACGATACTCGTTTAAATGATTCACAGAAAAGAAAGATTATTTCGAGTTTACTTCATTTTACAAATGATTATCAAACAATGGTGAAAAGATGAAACGATTAATTATGGTTCGAACAAAACTAAAAACTGTTTGTCAATATGAATTAYCTTAAGGAAGATAAAAGAAAAAATCAAGAAAAAGGCAAAAAAATTAAATAGTGTCAGAAATGAGATATGTCCGAAAGATATTAATTAATGAATGAATCCATGGGTAAATCGTGGATTGATTTGAGCCATTGATAAGAACATTAGCACCTATTTTGTGAAGTCGTTTTATAAGATAATAAATCCTGCCAACTCTTTTAAAGAATGTTTGATTTCCGATAAACGTGATAAGAAGTTGTTGAATACTGTGTTTAAGATTACAAGAAGTTATAATCATTACCTGACGATGGCGATGACTCGAAGTTTGGCATTTCCCCACAAGGCCTACCAGCATCGCGAAACGAGCCCACAGAACCTCCTTGATTTAAGGCGTTAACTGTAGCTTGTAGATGAATTGGGTTTATTGTATCTTCGCCACAATGAACAACTCGTGGCTGATCGTAAGTACAAGAACCAGGGACACGACTCATGTATCTTGTGTCCTGAACGGTGCTTATCTCACCCTGAGGCCTGGAGTGAGATAAGATCGATCTTATCGAGAAAGCCCCCGCAAAAGTCGATGCTTCATCATCAGAACACATTCTTGATTGAGGATCATCTTGGTGATTCAAAGCGCCTCGTCCGTAAAGAATTATCGGAGTTCTAGYCCAGTGTAGATTGGAGGTCCCGTTCAACATTATAGCACGGTGATGATTGCCTTTCTGCTATCTCATTAGCTCTTTATATAACACGATCCATCTGACTTAAAACGTCGTTTTGTTGACAGAAACCCTATTCTTGCCCAGACAGATTGGAATTCACATGGAATAAGTGCTAGGCAATGACTTACTTTGCAAAACTATTTACTAGCTCAAAGAACTGTCAATCAAACAATAGTGTTTTTTTATTATTTCTAAAGCGATTTAAATTAGACGTGGACGGTTGATCTCCACTGGGTGTAGTTTTTTACTCCTTTAACCCGTAGGCGATTCCGTTTTACTCTGATCGAGGGATACTCGCGCAGCAAACCAATTTACAGCGAAAAAGTACATATGCCTAGTTCTCACAAGGATTTTTAATGCCTTACCGCTCGCAGTAAGGCAGATTTGGGCTGTACTACTATATATCATTAAGAGGGTTGCTTACTCAGTGAATCCTAGTCAACAGCTATGAATGACACAATCACATCTATCGTACCAAATATATACCACGAATACATTGATCAGTCAACGTAAATATATCATTTTAAATATAATGCAAGTTCTATTGGCTTTTATAAAACTAGCAATTTTTTTCTACTACGGCTTAGAGAGTGTTTACAATTCATTTGTTTGATACTATTTTTGACCTTTAAAAATACTATAAACATAATTTGACTACTAATTTGCAAGAAGCTAGAGAACCTAGGAGAACTTAAATGTTATTGCAAGCAAATACATAACTACTTAAATTTTTATTTTTCGAAAATTTGAAATGAAAATCATTAGTAAACAGAAACCACACGCAAAAGATGGTTGTCATTTGACCCACGTAATTGTATTGAAATCATTAAAAGTCGTATACTACAACAGAGAAGAAGCAAAGACAGCATATAACAATAAACTGTTCTTGTCATTTATGTGTTAAGAGACTACTTTTCGACTCACTGAGGTGCTAGAATCAATTCTTTTGGAGACGTTTATTATTTACGTTTATTATTTTTGTCACCTTTGCTTTGAAGAAGTCCGTTGTCTCGATTGATTGCAGAGACAATATTGACTGTATTTTAGGAGCTCATTCTTAATGATATTTAGATTTTATTATTTCTTTGTATCTGGTTAATAATCCGTTACTATAGAGCAAATCACCTGAGTTCCAATGAGACACGTTTTGGTCGCAACAGCAACCAGAACCGAAACCATCAAAAAAATTCATAAAAAATAAAAAATAAAAAATGTATGCTGAAAAATGTACTGACTTAGACATTTCTGTAGAAGAACGACAATTCTGGGGAATTTTTACCACTTTTGAACGAAAATAAATCATAATCATTGACCAAAATTACATTCTAATCTACAAGTAATCATCAGAAAGTCTCAATTATGTTCTAGATTTATAATTACAAAACATTTATGCTGAAGATGACTGAATGATAACCCTTGCAGAGTTAAATAAAACTAGCAAGTTTATTCCCCGCCAAAACAAGCCACTATCATTTGTCTTGCATATTTAACGCAAAGAATTCTTTTTGTGCTTCTTGTCTTTGAAGTTTAATGAGCTTTTTAATATCCCTGTTAAAAGGCTCTCTGCGATATTAATTCAGTTTGTTTGTAAATAATTTTGTGACGGCCAGCAATTGCTTACACAATGATGTGAAAGAAAAGTGTTAATCTGCTTTAGTGTTGAAAACATTTGGTCGAAACATAGGAAAAAAGCACCGAGATAGTGTAAAGGATTGATATCCTGTCTTTAGAGTATTACTGTGTTTCGATTAACTAATAACCCCACTTCACTTTAAATTGATAGTATCATTATACGCGTCTTTCAAGACAGCTTAAAAGATCTATTCATGCTGAGCCGATTGATGGTGATAATATGGCCGAACTAAAGTACACAGATGACGAARTTCTCGTATAAAGACTTAGTGATTAGCAGGTTGCACAAGCTGTGATTTTGATTGATCTCTGGATGACAAGTTAAATTGCTTGGATGTCTTTGAGTCAAAAACCAGCGAGCGAACAGAAAGTAAAGTTTCTGTCGTTAACTTTGAGTAAAAAATTTTCTTTCCAGAAACGCTGTGATCACACACAAAAACCACAAAATACTTCTTTATCAATTTCATCTTCTCTGGAAAAATCGTTTTTCAACAGATTGATTATTCCATATAGCTTTCAAATAAAGTTTGGTTTTCGGAAACACGGATGGTCACGAAAGCGGCCGCTACGTAGCTCCTTTGTCCAAACACCAAAATAGCATTTCATGCCTTAATATTCGAAATACAGCTTCGTAAAATTCCAAGCCATGTACTAATCATATCTATTAAATTCAGTCTCATTTCATGCATTTAACAAAAAATCCTACTTCCGTCTTCATAAAAGTTCTTTGAGTAGGCATTATCTAGACCTTTTTGAAAATATCTTATGCCTTTTAAAACCAATTTAGCCGAACTATAACAATGAAAAATGATATTTAAGCGACCGATTGTCTAAGTGTGATTTCCATTATAAAATAAAGCTGGTTTCCATTGTTTCCATGTCAAGATAAAAAGGTCTTTGTTTGAACAGATGTTGAATAGGTAGGTCTCGATGACCGGCCGTTTGTGAACAGCTCTAAATGGTGGTAAATTTAAAAGCTGTAATTATGAAAAAATAAGAGATAAATAATGGAATAAGTAAATTGAGCATCGTGTAATAATAAAATAAAAATATGATTAACTTAAGGTTAAGATGTTTGTCCTTCTTTGGAGTACATTCTAGCAAACCTTGCAAMGCATGCAGTATTATTGGCGGCTGATAACCTGACTGATAGCACAATTAATTATAACCTATTAATTGATTTTGCAATCAGCCCATGTTCACTAGAGTATCATTTCCCTTTGCTTGACGTTTGTATATGAGAAAACATATGAATATGTATACAACTGAAACAATTCTTATTCTCAAAGAAAATGACCAAGGTCTGAAACGTAACTTTGAAAACTATTTGCCCAAGACAAAGAGGTATATTAAACTGAGGTAAAGATGATTGCTTAAAAAGACCACAGACTTGTACAATTTATAAATTACGATTCTCGCAACTCAAACATAATCGTGGGATCAAAAAAAATCGATCGTTCATCCATTTGCAGTCATCGCGTCTCATGATCCCTAACCCTAACCATGACGTTTCATACCTAACCTACCGCAATCCTAGTTTTCAAAATCGGTTTTCATACACACACACAMAAAAAAGTTTTCGAAAATACCAAGACAATATACTTTAAATTAGCATAAAAGAAATAGACACCGTAGAGGATTCTGGAAGTGTAGGTACAAAACGTCATCCATGCTTTATTATTAGGTCTATTAGATTATATTTTGTCGCATTGGCCACAATTCAACGAAAGAGACAGAAACAGAGACAGAATGAATGAATGAATGAATGAATCACCTTTATTTTTTAGTCACGAAGATATAGAAATATAGATAAGTTAAAGTGCTTGGGAACGAGGTTATTACATTTATACAAATATCTAATGAGATGCAAGATATCAAATGAGATGCAGAATTTAAAACATGCTTAAATACGATTGCTTAGCCACAGCATTTTGTGGAAAATATTTTTACTTCGGCAATTATTTTTGATGTTTCTTGATTGCTTATAATTTAGCAGTTACTAAACCAATCGAAGCCATACTGCAGAAACTGTTAATTTTGATGTGCTCTTTCTCGTCATGGAAATATTTTTTTCAATAAGATTATTTATCAATACCATCTATATACTCGTTCCCAGTCCTTCACTCGTTCCCTAAGTAGACAATTGTATCTATTTTTAATTCAAGCGTTAGCAATACACCATTTTATCATTTGATGTAGTACATATGAAGACCACAGACTCATTTGCTCTTTGCTCTTAAACGAGGGCTACGCCTGTGCTTGAAACCCCACGGACTTTATATTAAATGGTATATGAATAGCTGTCTTATAAACGAGGCTAAGCCTGTGCAAATTAATGATTCTAGCTGTGTTTTTAAAAACAGCATCCAATTGAACGTAGAAAAGGCTACAATGTATCCTATTATAAGCTATGAAGAGGCACCTGACCGCTTCTAGCGGCCGTGTAAATATAACGGTCAATATCCTCGCCATTTTCAAGCAGAGTTTCTAATTGTAGTAATGTGCTGATGCCTACGATCAAGGTATTGATCATCTCAACCTGCATAGTAAAAGAATCAAATTTAAGTCAGTTATAGTACGATTGGAAGCCCGGGTGGTGTGGTGGTGAGAGCGCTCGCCTTATCTCATCAATGGATCCGATTCCCGAGTCTTTCTTGGTGTAGCAAGCTTTATATTGTATTCCGGGTTAGGACTTTTTGATGGCCATTTTATCGGATATTTTCATATTGTCTTCATTTCTCAGGTGCCCTGCAAGACTAAGAAAGAGCCCGGGCTAGCTGGAACGAGAGCCACAGATTCGTTCGCCCCTAGCTATTATGATTGTTGTAAATATCGACCCTATTATTATGTAGTACCTGTAAAATTTAAACTATGTCATCTATCTCGATTAGCGTCTGTTATTTTTAGATGACGTACAAATAGGCCCTTCAATCTTTATCTATATATTTTTTCTCTGCTCTTGTCGATGAAATTGGACAAATAAAGATGTTGTTGTTGTTATTGTGTTGTTATTAAGCGCTACGATCCCCTTGTGAAATAAGACGATTCGAACAAGTACTAAATAATATAATTTCACAGCTTCAGAGGCAACGTCAAAAACACCTGGGACCTGATTTTGTTGGTTTACGTGATATGCATTAGCACATACCCCCTCCCCATCCTTTGAGACCTGTTGACATGCATGCTCGTTACCTGGTGGCTGTCAGACTATTGCTATACACAAATAAGTTGTTTAACATATACTTTTTTAGCGTTTGGAATCTAGGGTTGCTTACCATTTAAATCAATCCATCCGGTTGGAAATTCCTTTGCTTATGGTAAGAAAAGAGCGGGAAACTTGACTTTAGGGAAATGGTACATGCTTCTACCAAAAGCACCGAAAAGAGCGGGAAAAGAGGATTACTTCAATCAGAAGACCGAGTTTTCCGAAACTTTCCAAACGGAATGATATACATATCATTATTATTTTTTCAATCCGCCGGGTTTTCTGGGTAAATGGTAAGCACACTAAATCACTGGTAATCTATTAAAAGATCTGGGGAGTTCCTGAATTGGGAAAACGGGATTTCTTGTACTTAACATATATAATTAGTCATTACCATCGGTAAAATAACTTCAACAGTACAAACACTTTGAACACAGATCTTAACTGGAACTCGTGAATATTATGCACAAAAAATAAAGGCTAAAATTAATCGACGTGACTAGTCTTATTTGAATTTTCAAACTTATATTCCTACCTCAGTCACGCCCAGAGTTTTGAAACAACAGACATAGATATCACCTTTATGGATATCAATGGATGGTATGCCTGAAAGAATAACAATTATAATAATGAATGCTAGAATAGCTAGAAGGAAAATGTTTTTGACAGTACCTAGAATTAATTGACAAACATTGAGCCACATAGTACCCAGCCATCATTCACGGTGAATTATTAAAGACTTGCACATTTTACTACTAGAACAACGGTTACCTTTTCTAGTTCGTTTTAGCTTCAATTTTTTGAGAACATAGTGAAGACGGTTATCCTGTGAAAATAAAACGGCTCCGTGATGAAAAGTTAAGATGAATAGAGATAGAGACGTGTAGCAAAGTTCACGAGTTTCATCAAAGCAAAAAACGTTGACATTTGATGCATTTTATATAATATTTATCTTGAAGATGGCTGATGGCTATTATAAGTGAGAACAGCCACAAGAGACTTGGTTAGGAACTCGTCATAAAAAAGCATGACTTTTCCTAAGGGACAGTTTATTTTTGCGTACATGGTAGGGGGAGGGGGGGAGAGGGGCTGGTGGGATTTAATTAAGGGGGAAGCCACGTCAAAAATATGGCATTTAAGGGAGGGCGCCACAAAAATAATAAGCTAAATAAAAAAGCATTTCAAAAACTATCCTGTTTTAATAGGGGGCCGCTACGTAAAACAATATTCAGTTTAGAAATGGGTCACACTTTTTTCTTACTTACTTATTCTTCTTTTCTTAAGTCACAAAATTCCACCAGCCCTACCCCTTCCCTTGCTCGTAAAAAAATGAGCAATCTCTAAAAGGATAAAATGTGCAGTTTATAATAATGTTGTCATACCACAGATAGTCGTCGTAGTCTTAATCTCACTTGCACATGTAAGCCAGTTCCAAGGCACGCTGGGTCAGATGTAATGAATCCTAAGTGGCCATCCCAGGCGAATGTTTCACCATTTCTTGTAAGCTCTTCTTCTAGCGCTGACAGCCCTCGTGTAAACTTTTTAAATACCGTTGCTAACTCTTTTTCTTTAGACAACAATACCACCTTCAGTCGATAAAAAAAGAGCATATATACCTTAAGCTATATTGTTTCATAAGAAAGTGTCCGCACCAGCGAAAAGGCAAAGAACCTGTGGTGCAGTTATATTAGAATACCATGGTTTAGTATTCGTGCGCGAGCGCGTTAATTTCCCGCGCGAACCGTGTTCTTCCCGCCAAATCTATAGGAACATAAAAAGGAAACCTTGATTTGCAAATGAAAGAAACAGTTAATGAATTTAATATGAGCTATCAAGATAAACATTTAATCGCAAGGGTTTTTTTTTTTAATTGCCATTGTAAAATAAAGCCTGACCTCCAGCTTGCAGGCATCTGGGTTGGACTCTCGTAAAAAAGTTAAAGAATCAATTCAAGTTATTAAGTTTTTGAACCCTGAAAAGATCTCTGGGCTGATCAAATTCAAGGCACGGCTAAACTTACAGATTAAATTGGGATTTAGTGTGTAAGGTTTTGTGCAGGGAGGGAAATCGGAAAGCCGTTTTAAAACGTTACAAATCAAGTAAGAGACCTAACAAACATACCATGCCAACACCAACAATCGAACCCAGATGTGAGAGGCCAATTTGCGCTACTACTAGTGATACCAAAGGGAACCCGGCGATCATAATCCACAGGAAACCCATAAAGAGCTAAGTTACTTTTCTAAGAGTTTCCCTGTGGCAATACTTCATGTGAAACAAGTCTTTGTTATATATGTACCGACCAGAGATCATTGATTGGCTGGTGACACAAAGCACCTTGCAACTTTAAAGCTTGACGTCACTAGTATGGAAAAACTACTTTTAGATCCAAACGAAGAGCACTTCTATAAAAGCTTTTCTCAGTTTTTCTTGACAGCATTTTTTGCCAATTGAACGTGACAAACCTCTAGGGGAATGAACATATATTGTTTTGAAACTCGGCGGGATATAATCGTTATTTCATTCGTATCCTTTGAGATACTCATGAATTTTTCGAAGAGTAAAAACAAATAAAGAAAATGAATCCTCCAGAGGTTTGTCACGCTGAATTGGGAAAACATTATCACACCACGAATACGGTCTACTGAAGGTTAGATCATGGAGGACGACATTTCTTCACTTTATTTTAGCGGTTTTTTTGTAACCCCCTGCAGCATGTCGGAATGCAGCTCAATAGACGACTTGCACCAACAGGTCACGTGAACATTCCCATTCCCCTTAAAACGAGCAAATGAGTCAAAATGAATTCCAGAAATGAAAAACGCACCTCAACTTTAGTAAGGTGGCGAAGTTTCAGCTCGAAATGTTGACTATTCGATAAATGACATTAAATTTAAAATCAAACATTTACAAGGATTTGTATGGGAAAAGTGTTAGCTTTTGCCATCCAGCGCATTTTCCCATACAAATTCTTATAAAACATTCAATTTCATATCTAATGYTGTTTCTCCTGCTTCGCTTATTATGAGATGAAACTCCGCTTCCCTACTAATGCCAAGATGCTATTTTCATTTAGTATTTTTTGTTTTGACAAAACTGCTCGTTTTAAGGGAGGAAGGGTCACGTGATCTGTTAGTACAAGTCGTCTATTTGAAGGACATAACAATAGGTCTCCAATTCTCAGGAGATTGATTCTTTTGTCTTGTCCTCCAAATTGAGCTGCTTTGACGTCACATGTAAGGGGTCAATAATGAAGATACATTACCTGCAAATGATCAGCCTCATTTACGATCACTGTAAAAGACTTGTCATGTGACAAATATATACCACGTGCTTCTGGCCAGTCACGTGCACGCCCTGAACACGTGATTGCTGGTGTTGTTGGGTCTGGAAGAAGCATCCTTGCCGCCAGTCGATTCTTGTAGCCCTCAGATAAGTCACAGATTGAGATATATTCCCCCTCGAACTCATCTATTTTGAACAAAGATAATAGAAAATTGAACATAAGTTTCGCGAAGAGTTTATTATACTGAAATTAAGCAGCTGTTAATAAAACAATATCGCTTTCTGATTGGTTTCATGCGCGTTGTTTATTGATGAGAGCATAAGATAAGATAAGATAACGTTATTTACCACGGTGGGTCCTCCAGAATAACCACAATAATTAAATATAAATATATTTACAAGGGAATATTAAATACACTAAAGTTAATTTATGCCTAATATTAAATACGAATACTAAAACAATTAAAATTTGAATCAATCATGAATAGAAAAGAAATGAAGAAAGTTAAAATAAAAAACCTGCTCTACCAGGACACCGTGCAATAGTAATATTAATTATTTTAAAATGAGTGACAACGTATTTGAGATTTAAAGCTTGTCAGTGATGATGCTTATTTTATATGTAATGACAAATTATTCCACAGCACAGCTCATTATAACTACTGCACCCTAGACTCGGTTTCAGCAGTGAGGTTTTCGTTTGTGCCAAGCCTAGGCTTCCCAACACTAATATACCTTTTTGAAGTTCCAAATTACTGCCGTTTGATTACAGACTTATTTACTCAGTCAGACTTAGCTCGAGTCAATGTCTAAATATTCACAAATATACCAACGGTAAAGTTAAGAATGCACAACTTCACAACAATACAAACACTTTGAAATTCCATGGATCACGTGAATATTCTACACAAAATCGAGGCTAATCCTGAGCAACAGAGAACTCAAAACTGGAGTATTGAGGATCGCGGGCGCACCGAAACAATCCATACCTGGGTTGAATAAAAGGTTGGGTCGAGTTGCATGGATTTGCAGTGCATTGTGGGACTGTTTTAGGGAAAGAAATAGACGCCATCTTGGTAATATATCTTCTAAACAGTCCCACAGTCTTTTCCTTGACCTAGTGGCTAATTGCTCAAACGAGCTCTAAATTGTCAAAATTTTTAATTTTGTCTTAACAGTTGCTTTAGAAAAATACGGCTTTGCATGATGTCAGACAATTGTCTATTGCGCAAATTAACATATTAATATGATCAAACGCACAATCGGTGTCAATCTTTCAATCCTGAACGTTCCGAAATGTGCACACACGCGTATTTATGGTTTTCTTGGCGGCCATATTGTAGGAACTTAACAAAAGAATTGCCAATGAATTCTTTTGTTAGATCCTCCAACATGGTCGCCGTGTCTTTTGCTATTTAATTCTCTTAGGAATGGTTGAAAACCATCTATAGGATTTTTCTCATTCTTTTCCACAAAGCCCGTGTTTTTATTGGTCCCTTTAGAGGCAGCTCCAGCTTAGTTGAGCCTTACGTGCAGAAACCAGAACGGTACGGTCTTTAGGGCGTGCGATCCGAGTCTCTTGTTTTAAAACTAATACGATTTTCTTAGTAACTTACCTTGCAATCTGAGCAGCGCCGTTCTAATCACATATTCTATTTCTCGTCTTTCTTCTCTCGAACATCCTGCGGGAAGCCTGAATCCTCTTAGTGAACGATGTGCTTTTATTCTCAATGACTTTACTCTTTTACTATCAAGCATCCCTTTTATTATCCGGCTACAATCCAAGTTCCTCGCGTGTTTTTCTTCTGGACCATATTCATGTAACTCCTTGATTATTTTGTCAAAAAGAAGCGCGAAAACATGGTACGAGTTTTCGTCTCCCGCGATCACACCGCTGGCTCGTTCCCAGGGCATACCGGGACAGCGTACACCAATTTGGATAACTTTCTCTAACGTAACACCTTCGGGTGTTTCCTTATCTCTGTTCGTATTAACAAAAATGAATCATTTAGGATGATTGAACGTAAACGTAACAGACAGACAGACAGACAGACAGACCGACAGACAGACAGACAGACAGACAGACAGACAGACAGACAGACAGACAGACAGACAGACAGACAGACAAAATAATAAAATATCAGATAACTGTTAACTACAAACTTTAGGTAGAGAAGTTTTGCACCATCACGTGACGACAGCCGTGTTAGATGGCAGGAGCAATACAATCGTTTTACATGAGAAAGAATTCAATTCCCGAGAGCAAAGGGATTATGTTGTTATGCAATCTAACCACAGGTAGTCCAAGATGGATTATGGCGCCGGCACGTGATTGTGCACACTGACTCTACAACAGTGTCTGTAAGGAGGTATGCTTTAAATCAAAAATAGTCGAAATTTGGTTGCAATTACACATTGGTACCTAAAGGGCCAAGCTTTACCGGCTAAATATAACATCTTCCCAGTCTCGTATCGAAAAAGACAGTACACTATATTATTGTCTAGTATATGGTACAATTTCCAGGGATGGTGTCATTTTCGGAAGACTAACACTTTAAGGGCTCTAGGCACTCTAGTGTACTCTAGACCTTAGACCAACAAAACTCAGTTTGCACTAATTTATACAATTTTGTTACGTTAGTTAACTTTTTCACGGATATAGAGTGACCAGAGTAAATCCGTGAAACTTTAGTAATACTAAATAGCACAATTTCATGCAAATTCCATTGTTTCCTATTGTTTAACTAGCACTATTTTGTATTATTWAGTAATTAGTGTTTCACGGATTTACTGTGGTCACTCTATGGTATGCACTCTAAGATTTCTATCAAGTCTAAGTTCAGTAGACCTCAGTAGACCGTAGACCTACAAAACTTTGCACTAATTT